TCTGCCTCCGCGAGCCGAAAGAGAAGCGGCGACGAAAGATGATGAAGAATATGAATGTGAATATCTCGGTAACATTGCTCAAAATGCCATAAACCTCAGATAAAAACAGCTCCGAGACAAAGGGATGAAACGTCAGCAAAGTTCACTGAAACTTTTTGAGCTTACCTTTGCTTACTGCTGTCCACCACTAAGCCCTTAATCAGCACAACGCTGCCAGGCGTTAATCCATTAGGTATCGAGCAGACGTAAGGCACTTTCTGAAAGCAAAATCTCATTATCATACACATTCTCATTAAAGGTACACAACACACACGGCGAACGCAAGGTGGTCTGGTGAACAGAAAACATGCATATTATATTGCATATTCAGACACGCTGTGGATTCGCGACTGAGGGCTACAAAACACAAATGTTTACACTTTCAGTACCAAATGCAGAAACTCTCGCTTGTACTCAGAGTACATTCTACCCGACGATGTTACAGACTGCGTGCAGCGAAACGCGCTGAAATAAACTGTGTCGAAATCTGTGCCGTTAGGTCCCCTCGACCATGAATTGGCAGCGCACTTGTAATTTCAATAACAAGTCCATAATCAGACAAGCTATGACGTATGTATATTACATAATCGATATTTTTCGATGTAATCTCATGGGCAAGGGATCCAAACTAAGTGAAAAGATTTTATACTTCCATACCAATATTACGGACAATACTAAGTTGATATGTCATTGTTGGAGAGCAGCATGTTCGAATCCCGTTTTTTACTCAAAAGAGCCGAAGAAGGCTAATGGCAGCACCAAAATTATCAATGATCCTTTGTTCTTCTTTTTCTTTTCATCTCATTCTTCTTCTGCTTGCCCTTCACTTATATTATCATTGCTTGAGATTCATTTGCTGTTATTCTTCTGTCTGCTTGATCATCATAACTTTTGTAGTTGCCGTTATAATCATTATGGCTATCCTTATCGTCACTCATATTGTCATCACCGTAATGATCATCACCCACAGCACTTATGTGCAAACTTAATACCTACATTGCAGAACCGCGTTCAAGTATATGTAGGTCTTCTATTCATTTTACAAACTTTCGGGCTAATGCTAACGACATAATCAGTTGCTCAGTAACGATTGCGCCGGTCCAAATTTCTTCGTGCTTAGCTAATGGTTTGAACCGTACCGTGAATGATACATGATTAAGCAATTTCTGCAAATTTTCAACACGTCAATTTCATGAAGCACACGTTGTTTCTAAAGATATCAGATAAATCCGGTACATCAAGGACCTACTCCTTGAAAAGCCTTCGCCACTCAACACGTAGCAGGTCGTGCAGACCTTGCGTAAAGTTACAATAAGGTGGAAAACGTATTGGCTGTGAACGCTGATTGGCTCTGAAACTCCAAGAACCTGTGTAAAAGAATTAGCCCATCGCTGACGAGCACCTGTCGTGCAGACTTTTGGGAAACTTTTGTCGTGTCTCCTGCTTGCATTCATATGGAAAAATAAAACTGTACGATCGGGCAGCGATGCGTGTCATCCGCAAATGTAGATCAGTCTTCAAACGCCATAGAACCGATGAGGTCCAGGTTGAATTATAATTAAATTAAGGAAAGAAGGAACGGTTTATATCATCTGTTGATTATCAGATTAGAGAGTCAGATATCAGATGGGTGCAGGGAAATTTTAGGCGCGAAGGCGCAGTGCTCAAGAAGTCGGCTTCGAACTCTGAAGGTTTCAAAGTTTCCTTCGAATTCCTAAAAAGGAACAACTTCTCTTAAGCGCTAATTCCCTTGAATGATGAATTAGCTCCATGTTGCCTTGGTGCCGAAAAATGATTAGCAAGTGTATGAACTGCGAACAACTGAGGCAGCACAGTGTTCTGGTGTGGTCATGTCAGAATGCACAAGCGGTACGGCTATACGGTTCTCCGTCCCCCACATGATAGCTGATTATTCAGTGTGATAACTAATACAAGGTGCGACTCATTGTTGCTGTAGGCAGACACAATGGCCGTACCTCGTGCCTCGCCCATTTCCGATACGACCAACCCAGAATATGACACGGTGAGCGTTGTCTGCAAGTGAGCGATCTGTTGCTAGGCATTTGTCGGTTGGTTCCACCGAAGCAAATTGCTCTGAGTTCCTGCCTCATGAAAAGTAGCTGTTAAGAAGACTTTTTTGACATTCGAACCAAGCACCCTTCGATATTCGACGCCGAACTTCCATCGCTGTTAAAGCGTATCCATAAATCCTAGTAATTCTCAAATCTAAAATGTCATCCATCGGAAATCTAAGCAACACCTGTTGACCACAGCATAAAAACCCTTTTAACATCCACGATCAACTAAACGATGTCAGTCTTGCTCCAACTATCTACCGGTTTTGTCTGGCATGGTGCTGAGTTCATGAGAAAGGAGAACTTCGCCGCCAGCTTTCGAAAAATTACTCCAATTACAATATCATCACCTGGTGGGGGCGGAGTAACAAAAGGTGACAAGCATGGTCGAGAAGTCGCCATCGCCTGTACTTCGACGCCCAACCGTAGCCATAACTGTAACCACAGCTGCATGCACAATTAACGTGCTTCCTGCTATACACCAGCCACATGAATTGTCAGTAAAACATCATCAGATTGCCAATGGCCAAAATTCAGTCATAAGAACAAAACAATTGTTCGTCTGAAACTCGTCACTGTAGCCAATGAGAAACTGGAAAGGGAACCCAAAATGTCCGATACCAGTCACAAGCACTTTGGTACGAGGGAACAGCTCTCAAAAGTGGCAGAAAACTTTAAGATCAATCGAACCGTCGTTCAGAGCGCAACTCAATTCTAAACTGCGTCTGTTCAGGTTTCTGCATTCACGTTTACGACCTACGTTGCTCGATCGGTACGCAGCTGGTTCTAGCCGCACTGTGGTCCATTTTGAACAATGTACACACATAACGTATGCGTAACATTTTTAAGGACCCGCCGAAAGTGTTCAGTGAAGAAAGTTTACAGCTGGCTAAACGAAGCAAGAGTCGATTTTGGTCTAGGCATAAATGGCTATGTGCTGAAAATCGATTGCAGATATTGCAGAGGCCGTAGAGTCTCTTCTGTTCTGTTACTGAGTGCTGTTAGCCTGAATATTTGAGGAAGTCAACTAAATGCTTGAGCGATGAGCGTAGCAGCCCGCCAAGCGGGCCCACTGCCGTGAGGGTCTATCTCGTAAGATGCTTGGAGATAGATGTGCATGTAATTATGAGACTCGCTGCTCCCCGATCGCACAACTATATTTTCCATTCGGAATTTACAACTACTTCACAAAAAAAGTTTCACACGATAAATTATCTTCAACGACTGACAGGCTTTTTATACCTATTCTTCAAAGGCAAGAACCAATCTGCGTTTCCCACCTGCCGCGCCATCACATGGTCGATCCATGGCAGCATAACATTTATTTAGGCCTTCAGGGCCTATTACATAGGCAAGAAGCAACACAGCATTATAAATAGTAGGTGCTCTTCAAAACACGGTTTTAAGGGATCTGCCTTGGTTTTCGATTAAAATTTAAAAATGGTTTATTTAACTGAACTTTCTTAAAATTATTTAAACAACTTTGAATTTGTTTCTAATTTTGAATTCAGGGAGTATGGAACCATTACTGAATCCGGAGAGCAAGATTCACGATTTTCTATTTCAAGCTGACGAGTTAATTGTGGGTACGGATAAGCGTAGTGTAGCTGTTCTTCCGTTTTGTGGATGATGTTCTGTTTGTCGAGCCAGAGATCGCATGTGTTTTTGATGCGTTTCAATTTTTTCGGTATTAGGGCAAGGTTACATGAAAAAGGTAAGGTGCATGTAGGTGTAAGAGGTGCCTGAAAACTCAAACAGTATATATTTATCACAATTTAACAGAGAAAAGCAGGTAATTGTACTAATTTTGCAAGTTTCTTCATGCTGGCTGATCTTGCTTCTTGTTTGGTTCACCGTTGTCGTTTCTATGACTTTTCTTCTCCACCAGCTGACTTTCTTGAAGACGATACTGCTTGCGATTCACCGTATGATATGACACAATTCTTTACTAAACTATACTCCACAACGGCAAAGCCTTCCTCCTTTGTTCTGCTAAGGCAAACTGTGTTCGATCCGATTCTTCAGCTCAATACCAGTTTCCCTAAGGTAGGTAGTTCTCTCGGAACGAGCAGTTCATCTGATGCACCATCCCGGTATCCTTTAATGTCGGTTTTGCACAGGAGGTTGCTAAGCTTGTTTGAGGATCTCAAACCGTTGCTACCACGTGCCTGGTTATAACGCGTTTAATTCTTTCACGTAGGTTCTTTTCATAAGGAACCACTACGAGAGGGACAAGACGATTTCTGAGACGGTAGCGATTCCTTCTACATTCTGGATGCAGATAATCTACCAATCAACTCCGCTGAATTCTTCATCAGTGACATCATCGGGGACCTATTTTCCTCCAATCCCGCGACAAAGAAGCTGTCCTAATGGCAGAGAGGAAGGCTGGGTGTGGGAATTAAGGTATACCGCATACTGTGAAAACATAAGTACATAAAAATATTGTTCAAGTTTGCGTACATCTCTCGCCATAAGCTCATCTCCATGCCCTTGCAACCTTGTCTTAATACAAAAATCATTCAAATGCTCCAAAAACATCCACGGGCTATGGCACTGAAAGAGAGCTCGTAATCCAAAAAGCGGGACGATGACTACTCCGGACCTGATCGTGACCACAGTTGGCTTGCCACCGTGAGATGCAGTGTCGTTACGGATCTTGGTCCGGATTCAACAGGGGTTGTGCACTTCAGAATCTGAACTAAACTATTTAAATAATCAAAACAAATGTCTTTTTAAACAAAATACTAGTGATAAACTTCAGTCGAAATTCAATCCCCAGATTCCGCTGAAAACTGATTTTGTCGAAAGCTTACTACTCTGAAAAGTATTACAGAACTTTAAGCAATAACCTTATTATTGAGACAGCATAAATTCCATCTTATTGCAATTAATGAGCAGAACAAAACTTAGGCGTTGTCTGCCGGATTCAGGTATGTTCTCATCATCCAGGTTCGTTGATGTCGCACAGTGGTCAAATGGTCTGCGTCTGCCGTGTTTCCACTGAAATTTCGGAAGCCTAAAACATCGGGCGAAGGGCCGATGCTCAAACAGTGGCATAACGGAGCCAGCCTACTTTCGTAATCTCCCATTTTGCTAGCAATGCTTCTGCCTGGCAGCCAGTCACTGAACAAACTAATGACACAACGTTCTGACCACGT